TTTGCCAGAAAATTTTCCGTCCTATAGGATAGAGCGACCAATCGCACATTACAACTGCCTTGATAATTCTCCATTTACTGCTCTATTAAAGCGGTTATAACTTCTTTTCGCCATTTCTACCGGTTTGAGACTTCTTCCTCTTTCACATTGAAATAATGGCATATCCAGGATTTTGAGAATATGAGTGAAGCTCAAAGCAGATTGGAGGAACCAAGACACGTTTCTCCTGTCGTTTTTTCGGAGAATGTTACTCAATTACCTTAGAATTATTTTAGTTACGTAATATTACCGAACTAAAATAATGCAAGATGCATTCTTCTATTTGTATTTATTTTAAAGTAATACAAATGATTGCTTTGGGGTCAAGGGGATGCTGCAGTCCAAAAGCATTCCCCTGGATGCACCCCTGCATTGAAAGTTCCCGTTTATGCCAAACATAAAATCATTTTACTGAAATTAGTAACTGTCTGAGTAGCTTTCTCAAAGACTTTAAACATCGAAATTCCTTGGGTGCAGGTAGCACTAACATTACTGCTTCTTTGATAAAGTTTAACTAATAATGCGCGATCAAGTAATGTAAAAGTATAATGCCTTGTTAATCCACATTGAACACGTTTTGCAACCCTTTATAAAACTTAAAGTTTTCAACAACTTAATATGCAAATTTCACCAACATTAGTCACAAATTTCTGTCTAACGATAAATTTAGCAACTAAACTTTTTATTGACGAAATCGAAATTTCGTGACCAGGAAAGTATGCAAACCAAATTTTATCGCATTTGGTTTAATACTGTAGATTTTTATACACAGACTGGACAACTTCTGTTTAATTATAATCACGCTACTATATCTATTATAAATCATGTTAAATTTTGAAGGAATCAACCAATAAAAGTAACAAAATGGCTTAATTTTTAAGCAGAATGATATAGGAATACAGACAACCAGATGGTTGAAGCTACCAAGATGTCAGCCTAAGTTCTGGAAGCCTAAGGTCTTCCAGAACTTAGGCTGACATCAAAATCCCAGCCCTGGAGCTGGGATTTTGAATCATAGGAATCGCTAGGAATTAGTCTATCACAGATTATTTTGGTTCTATCCTTCATCATTACTTTGGATTTGGCGAACTCATGATGGATATGATTTTAAAAATTCTGTTTGTGGCCAAAGGATGGAAAGAATCAAAAATAATAAAAAAGAAATAAATAGACAAAATTTATTTGTAATTCTTTATTTATAGAAGATTTTAAAATATTGAAAACCATTAAATTTGGAGATAAAATTCTTAAAAGAGTATGCAGACATACAAACAAATTAAAATTAGTGACGATTTTCTTCTAAAAATAAAACGAAAATTTGAGGCAACGTCTTCGATATTTAAAAAATTCTATTTCAAAATAAACTATTTAATTTTTTATAATAGTTTTATTTGAGTTAAAAATAAAATAAATTGCCGTCTTAAATTCTTAAATGTATGAGTATATACAGTACTTATATACACAGGCGTCAGCATAAAATTTTCCGGGGCGCTAAGTTTGGAGACAAGTAATTACAGTAATAAATTTTTATTTAATTATTTAATTTCTTGCGGGTTTTTCACAAGTAGACTATAGAATACACTATTGCATCAAAACGTACTATGGTCGAGGGTGTAAGATTACTTTTACAATTATAATTTGTAGAATTTTATACTCGATCCCAGGGAGGGGAAGTGCCCTATTTGTCCTCTGCACAAATCGTTTGCCCTCCATGCTTATATTTATATAAGTATACAGTATATATACCACATTAAATTACATAATGTAAACGCTTAATAAAATAAAGTACACATAAATTTATATTTAAAAATGTATTTTATTTTATTTTGACTATTTGATCTTAGGCAACTGTAAAGTGATCAGAATTTCAGAATTTTTTCTATATGTCAATCCTTTCAAATGAAAAATAAATTTGTACATTCTTCTTTTATCTATGAATAACTATAAGAGTTTACTATTTTGTAAAAATAATTACGTTGTAGAAAAATCAATTTCATTTCTTTGAACTTTTCGATAAAGTATAGATTAATAGAATTCAACATATATTTTTTTCATTTGTTTTGAAAATCTAATAGATATTTTTGACATAATTATGAATTTATAAGTAACATTTAAAAAATAAAAGAAGAAAAATATATAATGCATCTCTCCCCGGGAATATCCTTCAATTTAAGAAGTTATAGACTTATATTATATACAATTTATATGCTGTAAAAGTATGCACAATATTTTTAAATATTTCGAATTTCAGATTTTCGCATTTCTACACTCTGAATAAGAGGTAATAAATTTATTTTGGACAAAATATTAAGGCGAAATATATTGTATTGACATAAAATATCTATCTATTAATTTTCTTTATTTAAATGTTTAAATTCGAACTGAACTGAACATTTTAGGACAGCCGAAACATTATGTACAATAAAGTACGTTATTAAAAAAAATACAAAATTATTTTATTCTTTTTAAATTTTATTCTGTTTATTATAAATTTAGAGTTTGTTTCTTATTTTCCATTATCTATGATTGTTTGAAAATTCCATCTTAGTAATATTTTTGATTATCATTTCTCAAATATTAAAATAACAGTCTGTTTTCGATTTTGTTAACACTCAAAATAATTATCTTATGTATTTAATGTTTTATGTTAAATTTCAATGCTGGTAAATGAAGTTACAATACGGCTGAATTAGCCATTAGGCAAAATAAGCACACGCTTAGGACGTCAAGGAAATGGGCACCACAGAAATGTTTTATTGCCTGAATCACCGTGGACCAAGTGATAAAAAACTGCAAATGTTGCAGCTGAACCAGGGTCAATAAAAAGGGGTCCCCACAGCAAATAAAAAAATTATAATATTTGCTGGCGTATAAGACTCACTTTTTTATTTTTAAATGTATCAAAAAATGTATTTTATATTTTATTGTTGTTTGTATTTTGAATTATGTATATAGTATATGGGAGCGCCAAAATCTTTTAAGTGCTTAGGGTTTCCAAAAGTCTTAATCTGGCCCTGAAATTATTAGAAACAAATTAAATTAAACTAATTAAGACAAAAAAATTGATTTTTTTTATCTACTCTTTATTTATCTGATATTTAGCAGAAGTAATTCGGAGACTTAAAAAGATTATTCTTCATTCATATTTAGCATATTACTCTTACATTTTATTAAAATTAAGTAATATGAACCTGTACAGTATTGTACATAAAGAACAGTTTTTATTTTAAATCTCGTATTATGAATCCATATTATTAGAAATAAGCATAAAAATGTAATAGTACATCTAAAAATTACTTAATACTTTGCATATTACTTTAATCAAGAATCTAAATTTTATTTGCATCTCTTAATTGAATTTAATTATTTGTTTTTTACGTTTTTTACAGTATCTTGTTCTTTGTTTCTTAATAAAGAATATATAATAAGGCTGTAACTTTATTACAACTTAATTTTAATGGATTTGTTTCTGTTTTTTTGTTATACTGTATTTGTCTAAATAAATGATGAAAAATAACTGTTTATTTCAGAAAATGCATGATTTAATTATAAAATTAAAAAATTATCACGGTTTTTAATTATATTTAACGTATCTTCGGCCTTTATCATTTTAAATCTGTAGATCTAGAATTATAAATACGTCTTTAGAAAATGTTTTAATTTTAAAATTACATGAGAAATATGTAATTTTATTGATTATATTATCTTACAATATCTTGTATCAATATATTATAAAGATCGCAAAATTCGTATGCAGTAGATTGTGTGTCTGTTAATTGTTAGGATTCACTAAAATGATATCAACGATTGTCATGGTTTAGCTTTTCGAAATCCAGATTTAACGACACGATAATTCTCTGGGACTTCTGAAAGAGAAAATTTTGCAAATCCTCAACTTAAGACAGTGAAAAATCTAAAAACAACTATAGGAGATTGCTTTAACTGGTAACATAAAAGATGATGTTCGGAATGCAAGGAAAAATTAAAATTTAAGCATAGAATTGAAGGAAATACACAAATAACTTCCAATTGAACATGCATAAAAACTACTTTGTGGCTGTTCTGTATATAAAAGTATATATTAAATTATAAATTTTTGTTTATTAAAATATTCACATTTTTTTCTGAACAATTTGCTATCATAAAGTAGTACATTTGATCACTATTACTCTATTAGCTAAAGAATATTGTTGAATTATTCTTGCATAATTTCATCATTTATTATTATTATTAGTTCAATCACTAATCAACTAATAATGGTAAAAACTTTAAGAAAAACAGTATCTAAAACGATAAAAGTTATTTTGAATGAACTCAATAAAATCCAAATTTCACACAATATTTTTATTTTCATCATTTTCTCCTCTTTAGGGCCAGAATAAACAACCGGAAATAATGTCAAAAAAGAAAGTTTTTTCAGATAAATAGATTCTACCCCCTGTCAATTCGAAGTTAATATTTTATCGATATACTAAAGTATCTCTTTAAATAGAATATCTCAATCAGATAGTCACATAAATCTATATAATATATATTTTATGTAAATTGTCCAACTATTTGAATGTAATAAATATTTACTGTAGTTCATATTCAATCAGGTTAGCGTGAACCAACAACATTTTTACACTTTTATGTAGGATTTAAACAAATATGTGCATAGAATGTAGGAAAATAATGCTTTACAGAAATTTTAAAGCGTTTAGAGAATTTTTAAACCGATTAGTATTTATTAAAAGAAAAAAAGAAGAATTATTTCACCCTCACAACAATTACGATTATTTAAAAGACGGAATATGAAATAAGTATTAATTGTAGTGGTATATGATTAAGGTAGTTCAATTACATTTATCTATTGGAAATTACCCTTTCGACATTAGTTATGAGCAGTATCACCAGGTAGCGCAAGTTCGGTACAGTGTTATATAAACCATCGCTATGACAACCGACACGTGCCGGCCAAGGGCATCTGAAAAGGTAACGAAGAGGTATACTGACAACATCCAGATATGTCATCCATCTACGGAAGGGTAAGATGCACTGTTTTCATTTCCCCCCTTAAACAAATATTAGGAAGTTAAAATAATTCATTTGTTTTCATGTTTCATTGTCGAGTTAGTACTTTATTAATAAAGGCAAAAATAATTTATTTCTATACAATTTTACTTAGAAAATCTTAATATTATTTTATGTATTATAAATTAAAATTGATATATTTCTCGTTTTATTATTTAAATTATAATTCCAGTTTAGTGAATAATTAATGATTGCGGATACATCGCTATGTGTATGAATGTGTTCATGTTCACATGTATTGCATCTTCATTATCATGATCAATTTTCCCATAGCGGATTAATTTATCTGAAAGTCTAAAGCCAATCAATTTCGAAGATTTCTTAATCCTCTGTATACATGATTACTTTTATTTAAGGCCCATTGAGATTGACAACTTTAGCAAGTGTTTATTTTGGTCATAAGATAATTAACCATTGGATATTCTCTCATGTAGGCTTCAAAGAAGTGGAATTCTACGAAACAAGAGGACATTTTGCGTATTAAGTATATAGTCATATAGTGTAAGAGGTCGTCGAGCCCATTTAACGATCAGAAACAACACGCTTGGTTTAATAACCTACTCACTTATAGCAAATGTATCGACAAAGTTCTATTAAGATATTAATCAGTTACACTTAAAATTATTTTCAGAAATAAGGCTAAAATTTCTAGGCTATTTTAGGAATTATCAATTGTCATTACAAAAAAAAAGAATAAAAACGTTTTCCTCATTAATACAAGGTTAAAACAGTGATGATAATTTTAAACATAATTAATTAAAGAGCTGATGCTTAACTAAGTTCATTTATTGGAGTGAAATATCTTGTTAAGTTATTTTTGCTTAATAAGCCAGCACTCCACCTTTCCAGATATTATCGTCATCGATTCTTCTGGAAATCATTTAAATAAGTTATATACTATTTAAAGCCACGAATGTAAATTTTTAAAGAGCTGTTTCTAATGCTTTTTAAAGTGTAGCTTTTGAGAAATTTAATTCTGTTATAAATTTTATATTAAATATACAACTACCTATTCTAATTTTATTCAAATATAAACTATTGAAGCTCGTGTTTTTGCGTTTTTATAACTGGAAAAAATTTTAAAACAATTCGTTATAGTTATCAATATTTATTAATAAATTTTAGATCTATTCAATATCTGAAATGGAAATCAATAAAACTTTTGATTTTGGTTCTCATTCTATATTCTTACCAGACGTCTCCGTAATTCAGTATAAAATTGTGTTGTGGATAAAGATTTCTCTTACATTTTATACGAAATTATTATTTATATATGTAGAAACTTTCTGACATTGTTGATGAATATTCTCAGAAAATCTGAGAGTATTTTAATAACTATTTAATATTACTTGATGTTATTATATTCATTAGGGTACCATTCAACCATCAGACAATTTCAATTCAGAAAGAGCAGCAGCTAAATTACGGAGGGCCATGAAAGGAATTGGTAAGTTCTGAAATAAGAATCTAATTTGGAATTTTAATAATTGTGACATTGTAACTTGACAATGGAAAAAGTAAGTAGCTTCGCTCTCCGCAAAAATATCATATATCAAATGCTTTATTTATACCAATAAACAAGAAATTTGATATTTTGTGGGGTCAGATAAGAACAGACAGATAAACAGATTTAAAAAATAACTATTATTTTCATTAAAAACAGATAAAGTTTAACATTGAGAAATATACAATCTAAATTAATGATAAGCAACCTTTCCTGAATGCAGGCTACATGCATTTTTTTTTCTTACGGAGTTACAGACTTTTAAGCCTGCTGAGTATTAATATATTTGCTAAGTACACTGTACTCCATTACACTGGCTACAAAAATAAGAAATGCTAATTAGTAATATAGGCCTATTATAGTGTATTCTCATCATTTCACTGGTCAAGTTTAGTTTGAATGTTCTTCGTCACGAATATCAGCTTAATTAGGGTTGTACTATGACACTAAGCAGAAAGCAAAAAAATAAAATTACGTTGATCAAGCTCTAGGGGCGCAATTTTGGACTTCAAGGGCCGCATGAAGTTCGTGGATTGCTCATGACTGATGTAAGCTTTTTCTATATGTAGCTATTATTTTTCAAAATTTATAATCTATGTTATTGTAAATATAATGAATAAAAAATCTCGATAACTTAAAGCATTATTCTATAGAAAAATATATTTTATGTTAATGGTTTCTTCAGGTACAGATGAAAGGATAGTTATCGACATTTTAACTAATCATAGTAACGATCAACGACAAGAAATTAAAGCGAAATACCAATCTATGTATGGTCGAGTAAGTTATTAATAATTTCTTTTCATGTAAAGATTACAAATAAATGATCATAAATGTTATCAATCAAGTAAGTTATATAATTCTATTGTTAAAATTATCTATAGAATATTAGTTATTGATTTATCGGGACCTATCTTAAAAGGTGCAATTTTTATTACATTTAGGATCTAATCGAAGATCTAAGAGCCGAGCTTGGTGGTCATTTTGAAGATGTTTGCACAGCTTTATTAATTCCGAAATATGAATATTTGGCAGAATGTCTTTATAGGGCCGTCAAGGTATTTAACATATTATTTTCAAAATTGATAGATAATTTAATTTAATTGAAATTTTTGCTCAAAATCTTTAGGCTTCAAGATCTGTAGACTTAAATAATATTAGGGCTACGTTTAACGGCTTAAAGTTTTAAAATATAACCGATTTAATAATATGTTTTTGTGTTTATATTTTAAACGATTTATCTTCTCTTCATCACAATAAAGTAATAGATATAAAACGTAATTTTTCTTGGTTAATGTTTACACAATGAAAGCATTCAATCGCCCACGCTGTAAGTTATATTTTCATTTTATCACTCGTCGTTGTTTGCTTATCATCGATAATGATAACTTACTATGGTGCATTAATTAATTTATGTATTTCATTTGATAATGACTACGTAAAGTTCCTTGGAAATACTACATAGGTTATTTACTGTAATCTGTTTCTTGTTCATTTTCTAATGACTAGGAAAACGTGTAATAAAAATTACTAGGAAGTGTATAGGAAAGTGAACGGTGAAATGAATTAGGAATTAGAAGGAAAAAGTGATTTGGCATTGTTCATTTCTACATCTCTAAGAAACCTGTTAAAAACTCGGTTAATGTTTAACAGTTGTATTGTGTTATCGACGACAATGACGAATAGCAAAATGTTAATTAATCAGTTAGTTACCTTTTTTATTTTTTGTTCAAGAGACATATCGATGCATTTAGGCTGCAAAATTACGACCACAAGTCAGAGTCAAAAACTTTTTCTACCAATAATTTCTTTTTAATTTGATATTCTATAGAGATGATTGGTTGGACTTGTTGTTGACACTTATTACCCTCTTAAGGAAACATAGAACATCAATGACTGATCTCCCAGTTGTCTAATTCGACCTTAATAATTAAAATAGGTTATTTGTTTAACTTGTCGTTGACGTTCAGTGTCGCCTTAATTTCACACTGTTTCCTCATTTACAAGTTTCTGTGAAATTTCAAATTCGCCGCGTAATGTGCAAAGAAAAGATTACTTTATTTCTAAACTGAAAGTTCTAAAATTTTTATACAGTAGTAACTTTATTTTGTTTTATAGAGTATTTTTATTCTGTAATTTTATAAATTATAATGTTCAATATTTATTTTTAAAATTTTCAATTACTGTACAGTAGACCCCCTATAACGCGGGTTCATATAATGCGGATTCGTATATCGCGGCGAAAAAATTGCGACCGTATTCGTATAAAGACGCTAAAGTATTCGTATAAATGCGGTAAAACGTCATCGCCGACTCGTGTCGCGACAGGATTGGTCGAATCTGGACCAATAGTGGACGAGCAGCCGAACTACGTACACGCTACTTACACGAGTTTAGGAGGGTAAGTTGAATTTACTATCGTCTGTACAGTATATAGGCCTAAATTAGGTACTGTAAGTCTAATACAGTAATGTAATTTTATACATTTCTTGTGAAAAAAACATTTCTTATTCAACGGTCATAAAAATTATTTCTATTAATGATGTTTCCAAAGTTCAGCGAATTTTTCGCAGAAAAATAACTTATCAGAAATCGCGGCCGCCGTTTGGTGCGCTGCTCCGCGACGAAAACAAGTTTAAGCAATGGCGACGTCGAACGGTGCACACTCGGTAAGTAATCCTACAATTTTTTGTTTATAGCATAGTTTATACTAATTATTCCCAAAAAAATATACGTGTTTTGGAAATGTTGAGTGAAATTAGTCTAGAATCGATTAATTTTATGGAAGAAAACCTTTCAAACAGCCGTAGTCCGTAAACTGCACACGTGCCGGGCTGTGATTGGCTCGTGTATTTGAGGATTCGTACAACGTGAAATTCTTATAAAGCGGAACGTATCTACCACGTTATAGGGGGGTCGACTGTATTTATAATTTTCATTGAAAAATATAAATTACACGAATTTTTTAATAAGCGATTTATTTTGAAATACAGTATAGCTCTGTAAAATAAAATCGCAACTGATATTTTGTTTTTATATCGACAGTATTTATCTTTAAATGTCATTGTTAAAGAAACTATAATGCTAAACGAGCGTTGATGGTATCGATGTTTACTTAAACGTCATTTAATACTATATAACTACTAATAAAACTCAATATTGAAAAACTAAGCTTATTTTATATCAGAAACACTTATTGATGAAAGAACAGAGGATAGAGATTTCATAGAATGTACAGTATAATCTGTTTAGCAAAACCCCAGAATTTAAATACTCGGTTATATCGGGTTGCTTTTTTTTGTCTCCCGACAAGCGCGATATAACGAGGGGCTACTGTATTTGAATTCAAGAAAAGTGGTATTCATTGCACATCTCTAGTCTTTAGATTAAAATATGCTGGATGTCGGTAAAAGGAAAAAATAAAAAAATTTAAAAAAATTAACTATGCAATAGCACAGTTTTGTATTTTAATTGTAAAAACAGAAAATGTTTTTAATTTGTGAGACAAATTTCCAAAAATGTTGTTAAAATATTAGGCAAAACTAATGCATTAAATCTTAGTTTTGTTAAATTGTTATAAAGCATTAGTTAACGATATTGTTACTACAGTATTTGAATTGTGAAGACAGGCAACAAGAAAACTTCCTGGTTGAAAAGATCCAATGATTGAAGGTTGAAGTCAGAAATCGTGACATTCATCAAAAATTATTATCTTCGTAGTATTTCTAATTTGTGATATTTAAATTAATAAATGATGATAATTTCATTAAAATTTCGTAAATATAAAATGATATAAGAAAACACCTAATTAAATTATAAATAAAAATAATTTATAAAAAATTTATAAAAAATTATAAAAAACATATTTATACATATTTATAAAAAAAACATTAGTTTTTTTTAACTGTTAAAAAAACTGTTAGTGTCAACATGGGCAAAAAAATTTAATGTTAAAAAAATACTACCTATATAATTCTATTATTAAAACCCGGACACCACTAGCAGATCTATAAGTTACCTTGATCAATTAATTAGAAAACTAATAAGTAAGACTAAAATATAAAATCTATATACACTTTCTAACCTCTGCAGAGTATTCTAAATCAGAATTTTATACAGAAAAACTAATAATTAATGGGTAGATAATGTGTTGTTGCGCATTTATATACATAAACAATGTATCATCCTTCTTGTTTAAAAGAAAATGTAACATTAAAATTGCTTCTCATTTTAATACGTTATGGAAAAGTTTTTATTTAAAATATATTATGTATTAAGTGTAATTTATTCTGTAAAAAACACACTTTAGACTTACTGTTGAACAGAAGAGGTTTTTTTGTAGCTAAATTGCTCCTCTTACTGATCATTTAGTGCAGGAGTCACCAATCAGTGGTCCGTGGTGAATGGTTCGCGAGAAAATTTTGGTGGTTTGTGAAGAAATTTGGATAATGATCAACTAAGGTTACGCAAAGTATTACGAAAGAAATACAAAATGCTTGGTGATTTTTCTCACTCATTGGGGGTTTATTATTCGAATTATAAACCAAAGACAAAATGACTGTTATCAATAAATAATAATGTCAATAAATCAATAAATAATGTTGTGAGTGCGATTGTCCTTCGTGGAAAAGAGCCAAGAATCTATAAATTTATTTCAAACAAGCAGCAACAAACTTCACATTAATTTGTTATAAACAAACAAGTGAATTTCATATTAATAAAGTAAAATGAAACTTTGATGATCATTATTCTAGCGTTTAAAAAATTCACGAGTGGTCTGCGGAATTCAAAATTGAGAGTTTAGTGGTCCGTGAAGTCATAAGATTGGCGACCACTGATTTAGTGTATAACAATGTAATCTATATTAAAAGTCAGTTCTCATTTAATAAATGAGATAACTCTTATAATTTTAACTCGTTTAATAAATGAGATATAATTATCATTAATATTTAACTTATCTTTATAGGGGGCTGGTACAGACGAAAACTGTATTATTGAAATTTTGTGTACTCACGAATGCTGGGTTAGTATTTCAATAACATTTTCACATAATACTAAATTTTTTTTCAAATGCTGTATTTCAATATGGATCATTTGTTTGAATTTCAGGAAATAAAAGAAATTCGAAAAATTTTTCGCGAAGGTGAGTAGTTTAATATTAATAGGCCTATTATTATTATTTCTTACTCGTACTATTCCATATTAAAATAATTTTATCAGATAAAACGTGTATATGTTTCGATATTAAAAACAATTATGGTCTAATTAAAGAGAAAATCATTGTAAATTTTTTAATTCACAAATCGGTTACATATTTTGCTTATATTTTGATGGTAGGGGAGATCGGGGCAAGATCGGCATGTTAAGCTTTACTTAAATTTTGTGTAATAAATACTGCTGTAAACTGAAAAAAAAAGCTTTGCATATTGTCTATTGGAATGTTACCTTACAATAGAACTGGTTAAAATCAGTTTGGAAATAAAAATAATTAAAATAATTACAACTTTACAAGAAGAGAGAAATTGACGAAGTTGCCCCGGGTATAGGGGCAAGATCGGCAACTTCTCTCTTTTTGTAAAGTTGTAATTATTTTAATTATTTTTATTAAAGTTGCCCCTGGTATAGGGGCAGCAGTAATGGAGCAAGATAGACACGTATATAAAATTATGTTATTAACAATGTATAAGTTGGAATTCACTATTAAAACAAAGAAATACAAATCCAACACCCATTTAATATTATTACAACGAAATGCAAGTTCAAAGACATATATACATGAATAACAAATGCAAACATGTTTTCATTTATCATCTGTTTGATTTTTATCCTTTGCTTCTAATGTGGCTTTATGTTGCCGATCTTACCCCGCTAGTCATGATTTCGAAACATTAAGTACAACCCTGAGAACAGAATGCCAAGCCACGATCTGGCCACGTGAATAAGTTGAAGTTACATCCTTCTAACAGGAAAAGTAACTTTCGTTATCATGGAATTATAACAAAACCTGCCAATTCAATATAAATGGAAAAAAAATATTATATGGAATTGAACGAAAATGAAAATTTGCTTGATAATTCAACTACGCTTGTTGGAGAACAATAAAAACACTACACTCAACAAGCCACCAATAAAACTCAACTGCCTAACCTATAACCAAAGTCTCCTTTTAATTTGTTTTTTAAAAAAAGCGCTTGACAAACTTGCCCCGCATGCCGAAGTTGCCCCGATCTCCCCTATATAACAGCAATTTGGAGCACAAAACTCAAGTGTTTTCACAGGACAGAAAATAACTGTTCAGAAGGTTAGTAGCAATGATAATATAGAGTACTGTATACAGTTAGTTGGATCAACAATGATGAATGACACTGGAAGAGGGACAGATGATGCTTCACATTTAAATCAAACTGGGTGTGGTTGTTAGGAGAATGTTAAGGTTAGTAACTATAGTTAATAGATTCAATCACTTATTTTTAAAAAATGTCAAGTATACTCTCAGTTGACTGTTAAAGATAAAATGGCCCGAGTAGATACATTGTAGAAATTATTACTAAATTAAAAATTTCTATAAAGTATAGCAACCAATTGCGTAACTTTCCCGGCCAAAACACTTATATTATTAATTATTATGAAATGACAAAACGCTTAATTTTGATGATAGAAATGAGTTTTACAAAAAATATTGTAAATGTTAATAACGAGCAAAATCTTTGTTTAGGCCGACCCCACTCGAGATATGACACATGACTCTTCTCCATACTCCCTTGAACTTTAACCACTAAAATTTAATCGTATCGACCCCCTTATACAGAAACCTCCCTGCAAAATTTCAGAAATTTCTAACAAAAGTTACAAGAGTTATTAATCTTTAAAGTTGGTAAACGAAATTGTGCTCCCAAACACATACCAACATCCAAAGATATAGGAAAAAAAACAACCTCAAATTTTTCTACATTTCTCGACATTTCAAGGTCCCCTGAATCCAAAAATTTTCGAGAGGTCATTTTTTAATCGATGGTAATACTTTCCCTCTTATACATAATAGCCGGGAAAGTAAAAATTTCGCAGAACTACTCGAGAGAATCAAAAAGAAACAATAAATACGCACACCTTTTAATTATAATTCGAATGGTTTTGTTTCTACGATATTAAAGCAAAAACTTCAAAATTAATATAATGCTTTAGCATCAGTGCCGAATTACTCACTAAGCACCTGAGGCACAGTTCTGTTTTGAGGGGGAGGACATTGTTATAGCAACAGGGTCCAGACATGGTACCTACCAGGCGTGAACGTCACAGAAAGAGTGCATATTGTAAATAACTATTTTATTTAACTATTGTAAAAACTCGATATTTTGAGAATAAAAGTTCTTTTTTTTTGTCAAAATTATCATAAAACATAGCTTAAATAATATTAATTAATTTTTAATAAACCGAGAATTAATCTTTTTTAATTTGCGAGTTTTTATATTAATATTATCATAAATCATAACTCAAGACTTTATTTTTAAATTTCAAACAATAAACTTTATTATGACAAAGGTACATGAACTTTACAAATTATGCTTTAACAACTTTACAATTTAAAATTTAAAATGATTCTAATTTTTTATAAGCTAAGTGCGTTTAGTTTATATCATTTAATATTTTTCATACTTTTATTTATAAATTTCCAGTATTATTAAAAGTAGAAAGTTTTCTTCCCCCCACACATTTCGTTTGTTATACATCATTTTCAACTTTACAATTATTATAATATTGCATAAAACAGTGATACATTTAGCTAATGTGTCTTTCTAACACTGACAATTAGTATCCTAGTTCAAACAAAATTCAGAATTTTTCAATATATAAATGTTTTAATGCATTTTGATTTTTAATATTCAAAAACTCTTCTTCAAATCCTGTTATAGTAATGCAATTAATTTAAAATTCAAAAACCTTTAGAAATAACAGAAATAATGTGAATGGTTCGCGAGAAAAT